CCAAACTAAACCAGTGCCACCTGCCTGCTCCTGGTCCAAATCCCTCCACACCTTTCCTATTCATGTATCCATCAAATGTCTTTTAAACGTTGTAATTGTACCGACATCCACCACTTCCACAGGAAGCTCATTCCACATGCAAACTGCCCTCTGTGTAAAAAAAAAATTGCCTCTCGTGTCTTTGGGGGAGGGAGAAGGGGACTCCAGTGTTCATTCACTGCCCAGTTCCAGTCACAGCTGCAGCCTGTGGGATCTGTGCGTTAATGGCCTGCAGCTGCAGCAATGGTTACAATTCAGCTGAAAAAAGCCCTGAATATGGACGGAGAAGGTTCAAGAAAGGAAGCTATTCTGATGTTCCTCTTGTGATTGATACTGGGGACTGTAAAGTCTAACAAAGCAGTCATTAGCTTCTTCATGTTTAAACTTGACTCTTTCTACTTTAAAAACAATGTGCCTGGGACTTCACCCAGACCAAGGGTGCGGTAGAGAAGGAGGGGAGAGAGAGAGACAGAGAGAGAGAGAGGAGGAGACAGAGAGAGAGGAGGAGACAGAGAGAGGGGAGGAGAGGAGAGGAGAGAGAAAGAAAACGAGGGGTAGTGGACACGAGATGCCACCCCACAATAAGAACCAAATTCAAATGGCTCCTGTGTATATTTGAACCCTCCAATTTCTCACTAAGCCACAATCACAGGCATCATTGGAAAATTATACCAGGTTCATGTGAAGGACTTTAATTCCAGGTCCTTGGGAATGCTGTGCCGTCAATGAATTCTTACTTTACCGGGTTCGCAATGCTGCAATTTAGGGGATGCTGCAGGTAATTTTTCACATAGCAAGCTCCTATTAAAGCCAGCACTATCAAATTTCAATTTCTGATCATGGGTGTCTTTGTCCCTGAACTTGTGTCTAAATCTGTTTCCCCTTCATCCCACTCATCCAACTTGTGTCTCCTTCTGCACATGATTTCCCCCCTTTTCCTCAACAAATCCCTCCCTGTTTCATTCTCTCTATTTCCCCACCCCACTCTCACACACTGCTGTTGACAAACCCCCTGCCTGTCAAGTTTTCCCTCTCCCAATTCCTTCCCACACTATTGAACCCCCCATGAGGACAGTGATCCAGGGCGTGTTTAGTACCACCTGATCCTTTTGACTGGTGCTTCCTGGCCCAGAACTGCCTCCAATAGTGTGTGAATCCGATGTCTTGCTTCCTGCACCATTCCTTGAAGCACTCACTGCTCCTGCCCATCTTCCTATTTGTACTGTTGCTTGCACATGGCACTTGAATAATCACTGCTCTTCAATTCTATCCCTAGTGAAAATGAATGCCAATACATGATTGGCTCTTTATGGCCTTATTAACCAGTGTCACTACATTTAGTGATTTATCTGTATTCCATGATTACTTCACTTAAATACAATTTCCAACACATGTGGCCTTCCTTTTTATCCACGTCAACTTGCACTTTCCTTTATTAATATTTATTTGCTGTCTCCCTGTATTTCATTGCAAAATTCTCCACTCAGAATTGTACCTTCCAATTTGGTGCCATCCTGTGTTTTACCTTCTGTCAATCTGAGGTCACCCAAACCTGCTGCTGTAACCCAACTTTCAAACAGTCATGTTAACTATCACTCAGATACAGCCACAGCTGTACAGCACGGAAACAGACCCTTCAGTCCAACCCATCTATGCCAACAAGATATTCGAAATTAATTTAGTCCCATTTGCCAATATTTGACCCACATCCCCCTCTAAACCCTTCCTATTCAGGCATCCATTCAGATGTTTTAGATGTTGTAATTGTACCAGCCTCCATCATTTCCTCTGGCAGCTCATTCCATACACGCACCGTCCTCTGCGTGAAAACGTTACCTATTTGGTCCCATTTAAATACTTCCCCTCTCACCTTAAACCTACGCATCCTCACTGGTTTCCTGGTTAGGCAACTCTTATTTTAAAAATTATCTTAATTATCTTTAAATTCTCTCCATGACTTCATCCCTTACTTTCCACATGACACCTTCCTACAAGCATCAAATATTTGCTTTCTTCTAATTGTGGTTTCTGAGCATCCTTGACTTCGAAGTTGTTCCAACTTTAGTGCCATACCTTTCGCTGTCACAGCCCAAAGTCCAGCACTCCTTCCTGAAACACTTCAGCATTCTAAGCTCCTTTAAGGCTCCTCAGTGACTACACTTCAAAAGTGCTTCACAGACTGTGAAGCACTTTGAGACATTGAGAACGGTGATTTATAAATGCAGGATATTTTACTTTGAAGTGTTATTTCTGATTCCAAATCATCTTTGCAAATGTTGAATATCAGTCACACCAGCCATGTTTGTGGACCATCTTCTGCCAAGCTCACATCATCTCTGCTTTGTCATCAGGTTGTCATGCATTTTGTCTTAGCTCAGAAATGTAGAAACATAGAAGAAAAAAGTAGGAGGATGCCATTCGGCCCTTCAAGCCTGCTCCACCATTCTTCGTGATCATGGCTGACTGTCCAACTCATTGGCCTAATCCTGCTTTCTCCCCAAAACCTTTGATCCCATTCGCCCCAAGTGCTATATCTAGTCACCTCTTGAATACATTCAATTTTTTGGCATCAACTACTTCCTGTGTGAAGAAATGTCTACTCATCATCTCCATCCTAAATCGTCTACCCTGAACTCTCATACTGTGACCACTGGCTGTGGACACACCCACCATCGGGAATGTCCTCCCTGCATCTTCCCTGTCGAGTCCTGTTAGAATTTTATAAGTCTCTGTGTGATCCCCCCTCATTTGTCTGAAAACTAGCGAAAACCATCCCAACAAAGTGAATCTCTCTTTATACGTCAGATCTGCCATCCCAGGAATCAGCCTGGTAAACCTTCGCTGCACTCCCTCGAGAATGAGCCTTCCTCAGAAAAGGAGACTAAATCTACACAGAATATTCTAGGTGTGCTCTCACCAAGGCCATGTATAACTGCAACAAAACATTCCTGCTCCTGTACTCAAAACCTCTTGCAATGAAGGCTAACATACCATTTTCCTTCTTTATCACCTGTTAATCATGTGTCTACTAAATGGCACCTTATTGAAGGCCTTTTGAAAGCCAAAAGTATTTATTTATTGCTTTTTGGTTACCTGCCCTTCCTGAAACTTCTGCAAAGAATTCAAAACATTTCGGGTTTGGTCAAGCAGGTCTATTCCTTTTGAGATCCATCTTGATTACTATTTATTAAAATTCAGTTTTGAGATTTTATTACATAATTGAGTGAAGATTTCATTTTTTTTCTACCACCAGCATAAGCTAATTGGTTCACAACTTGGACTTAACCTATCTTCCTTTTTAAATACAGGAAACAAATTAGATTATCTGCCAGTACTCCTTTATGGCACACAAGCAAAATGCCAAGCTGGTTTCCAGCTACATTACGGCCTGAACAATCAACATCAAGAAGACATATTATCTTATCACAATCATATTATTGATCGCAGAAGTTCCCAAATTATTGACATGTTGACAATATCACAACAGTGACTACATTTCAAAAAGTAATTCTAATTGCTTGATGGTACAAATTTAAACATTCAGAAAAAAAGATACAAAATCAAGAATTATTTTTATTAAAAATGTTCATCGGTTTGAAAGTGCTTGGAGATGTTCAGTAGCCTGTTATATAAATAAATAAAGCAGTTTTATAAATGTAACTCATTCTCTGAACGAAACCAATGTATCACCAAATTGCTTGCTCCAGCTTTTTTTAAAAAACAGATTGGATGGAGTGAATTCTACACTAAAGTAAAACACAAATTCAAAGCTATTCAATTCCAAATAACATTGCCTAATTATGTTCAAGTATTGATTATAATTTGAGTGGCAATTAAAAGAAACCAATAGTTGAAAACGAGATCCACTGGACTTATTCATTGGTCCTGGCTCTGAGCTCGATATCGCAATGCCTATCCAGTACAGATCTGCAGAATAATCACCGATAAATTTTATGATGCACATCCTTACTTATTAATAGGCAAAGGGACAACAGGATTTATTTAAAACTGAAGAACTGAATTTGATCGCACTTTGAGTGAGGTAACGTTTACACTTTCAGGGAGGGAATGTTCCACTTAGTTACCAACATTCGTATATTATTCTGTGATGCAAAAACTGACTGAGAGAATAGAACTTGGTCAATACTTTGGAATGAAGTTTAGTCCCAGTAGGCTGTATTAGCCAAGTACTGTACTTGGTTAAATTTATAAAGCTTAATAAGCTACAAAACACAACATGAAAGGTAGTTATATGGCTTGCATTTCTAAGATAGGCCAAGAGGAGTGGTGTTGAGCTGCACCCAAGCACTGTGTTAAAAATGTTCACACTTAAGTGGAGGATATAGCCATTACTTCTTCATTCACTTCATCTGGAGATTGGAAGAACATTAGAACAGCTCTGGATCCAGATTACCTGCCTATTTCCTTTGCAACCTTAAACAGTTCAAAATAACTTAAGATAAAAATGAGGCTGAACAGGATCTCAACAGAAAATTGGCATTTAAAAAAAAAGAATTGTTGTTTCTCACTCAAGAATGCATTTGGCGATATGCTTATTTTGGACTATCTTCCCTCTTTTATTAATAAGCTTTTTAAAATTTGTGTTTATGATATAAATAGGCACCAAATTAATGAAATTGTGAATATTAAAATAAATGTTGTAGAGTTGTTAATTGTGACATTTAGAAATTATCTTAAGGAATTTTTAGCTGCTGTGTATATAGATGAACACAAATTGGGTTTATCAATCAGCTTGTACCTGTCTTTTTAGCACAAGGTTAATTTGTTAGTCTTCAAGCTGAATAGGTAACCAGATTCAAATGAAACTGCTTATTATAAATATTAGGAAATCTTATTTTCAATAAAACCAATGATGGGCAAGTACTTTAACTTTATAGAAAATGATTTTCTATTAATCTATATAGCCACCCCAAAAACCACACTAAAGAATCTGCACTGACCTTGCATCTGCACCATCAAATATCTTTTCTGCTACATCTCCTATCACTTCCTGCTTCAAATAATACAACATCCGTACCCGCAGCAGGACTCTGTAGAGGAAGAAAGTTTTAACATTAGTACTGTTTGCCAACACTAGCTTTTGGCAGCTGCTTCTGTTCATCCATCATTCTGCCAAGGCTGATTAGCTATGCTGTATGGTAGGCTTGAAGCGTGACAGATGGTGGCATATAATCACCTCTGTGTGGTGCTTTCTGCTGGCTTTCAACAGCCATGCTTGGCAACCACTTTCAGCATACTGAGCACAGTGCAGTGCGGCCCAGACACATTTCATTCAGTAATGCCTAATTCAGTTTGTGAAGTTTAACGTGTACGTTGCCAGTGCTTCTGAAGTGTTCAAGTAAGTTTGTAAACAAGTGAGCAGATGGCTTGCAGTAGGCGTTCTGCTCCATTATCTCATGCAATTTCCTCAGCTGTTGCTTACTATCTTCTGAAGCAGCTTTATGTTTAGAATAATGAGCAGCTACATTAGTAGCTGAAAAAGACAGATATGCAAAATCTAATTTCAAGTGGTTCACTACAAACAATGACCTATTTTATACCTTTTATTGAAAACAAGGGCTTTCAAGCAGAAACTTAATGTTGTCTAAATTCGAAGGAGCTTTTAAAATGCTAATCATAAAAACAGGTATGAACTGTACAGAAGTACAAGCAAAATGCCTTGAACAGACTTTAGAATAAAACAAATGGGATTTTCTGAGTTTCTTACTTCAACTGATATTTATTCTGTTTGTAATTTTTAAAATGAGGTTGTGATTTAACTCACTTGTTGCAGTGGTGTTTCAGATGTTTCTTGTAGCCATCATCATGCAGCAAGATATCAGGATTGCAGTTTACTAGCCAATCTGCATTTTTCATCATTGGTAAGGTGGACTGACTTTTAACTTTCTTTCCTTTCCTCCCTCTAGGCACTGGTGCAGACAAACCTATTGGTTAAGTAAAGATATAAACAACATTTGTCTCAGAAAATAGTCACCACCAATCCCAACAACCTTTAATTGAGTATTCCACAAGCAAAAAGTTTTCAAACTCCAGCAACACAACAAATTAAAAACCTATTTTGATCTTTAGTGCTTTTATAGAATGGATGAATCTCCTGTTTAATCTCCAATGGGCTTCATGATCTTCATTTCTTCATCAGTCTGCTTCTTGTTCCAATCTTTTGCTCCATCACCAGATGTACAGGTCTTCTGTAATATTTATGACTGTTCTGTCACTCCTTTATGCCTATACCTTTGAGATCTGTTTACCTGGATCCCAGCACTGAGCTTCATCTCTGTCCTGTTGACTTCTCAGTTTTTTTTTCCTTCACTCATTTATCAGCTGTCTCCTTCTACTGATTTCTGCCCATTCAGGTAAGAATCTCAAGGCATCTCACGCTCTTCAATTTCTCACCTGTTATTTCTGCCTTGATGTCTCTTCGTCTTTTCTCAACATGTGCCTTCAATTTCCTTTGGTCCACTGTTTTCCATTTGCTCTATCCCTCCCCTCCCATCATATCTCTCTAACTGTAAAACACACACTCTAGTGCTCTGTCTCTACCTATGTGCTTATTCCTCCACTCTGCTCCCTGTCTTCTGCAACATATACCACATTTTCCTGGCTGCAATCAATTCTGAAGAGTCACTGGACTCAAAACATTAACTCTGCTTCCTCTCCACAGATGCTGTCAGACTTGCTGAGTTTCCTCAGCAATTCCTGTCTTTACTACAGTTCTTCAGCATCTGCAGTTCTGATTTATTGTTATTAGGGCACCTGAAACATGCCAGGAAGGATATTACCTGGGAAAATATTACAACTTCCTTGGCAGGCTTTGTTCCTAGCCAAAACATGCAGTGAAAAGAATCAGAAGTGGCAGCAGCAACAAAGTTAACCATCACAATCACAGTGAGAAGCAACCATCTCAAACTGGAACAAAAAAGTGCCCACTTGCAAAGCAGCCCAGGAGATTTGCCAGGGTTGTGGAACAGGCCTCAAATAAAAAAAGGAAACAAACCTTAAATTAAAGGAGGCCACCCCTTAAACAAACTTTTAATGAAAATAACTAAGTGAAATTGAAACACAGCTGAAAGTGAGAAATGGGACCAGACAACCAATTGTTTTAATAACAGCACCAGTGAGGAAACGACTGAAATGGAAGTGTAACTGTCACTATAGCGGTAACATATGTAGAGGCACAGCATTTTTTTTTGAAAAGGAGTAAAAGCAGCATGATTTCAAGTACTAAATCATAAGGATTTGTCACCACAATCATATGTACAAAGAATGTAAATCTACAGTAGATCCAGACTCAATTCCTCACCATGGAACCAGCCTGAGATTAAATCTGTCCATTATGACCTGGGATCACATTTGACCTTGATGAGTTTCAAGCCTCACATTATCACCAAGATTCCCCTTTTCCACCTTTACCACTCAACTTTACCATTTTAGCACATCTGCTGCCAAAACCCTCTTCATGCCTTCACCACCTCTAATGATGACTATCCCAATGCACTCCTCGTTGCACTCCCATTTTTCACCCTCCATAAATGAAGCTCAGCCAAAAGTCCTTACTTCACAGCCAAGCCCTGTTTCCCTATTACCCTGCACTCGCAGACCTGCTTTGACTCCCGTTCAAGCAGCATCCTGGTTTTGTAATCAGGGATCCGAACGACCTGAATCAGGAGAGGTTAATGTGCAGGTACAGGAAGTAATGAGAAGGCTAATAGAATGTTATTATTTATTGGGACGGAAATAGAATACACAAATAGGGAGATACTGCTTCAGTCAGACAGGCATTGACGTGATCACATCTGGAGTGTTATGAACAGCGTTGGCTACGTTATTTAAGGAAGGATTGTGAATGCACTGAAAGCGGTTTGGAGAAGGTTTACTCGACTGATACCTGAAATGGGTGACTTCTTGTCAATGCTCTTGAGCTTAGGGGATCATTCTTCATGGAGCATACGTGGCAGGGACCAAGCGGAATGATTGGGTCAGAGCTTGGTAAGTTGTAGGTGTCAACAAAAGAGCTGTCACCTGCCTGTGGTCCAAGCAGGCGCCTGGGGCTTTGGACATCGAACTCACACCTCCATGCCCACTCACACCCCATCTTTTCCCACCCCACCCCGATGGATTCACTCAGACAACACTGCCATGATTTCATAATGTCACTTACACCGACATCCCCAGAACACATCCAGAAGTCGGCAACCTTTGTTTAAGGAGGTTGTTCAGGAGCGTTTTGGAGTAGTCAAGTCTAGGAGGTGACAAAAGTTTGAAGGAGGTTTCAGCAACAGTTGTGCTCAGGCAGAGTGGAGTTTGGACAGTGTTCAAAGTAAAATATAGGCAGACTTTGTGGTACTGCATGCATAGTGAGAAACTCATCTCCCAGTATAATGATAACACCATGGCTGTGAAATTTGGTTTCATCTTAGGTTACTGCTATAGAGTATGGTGAAGCTGGTGGGTAGTAAATGGGAATTCTGGGAATGAATGAAAACATCGTTTTCTTTCTTCCCACTATTAAGTTGAATCCCTTAAGAATTTATGGCCTCAATCTTCTGAACCCAAGAGATTATAAACCAATTTTAAGCACCTCATAATTTAGCCCTTTCAGGATTCTGGTACAATTCTGATAAAATAGAAATTGCTGGAAAAGCTCAGCAGGTCTGGCAGCATCTGTGGAGAGAAATCAGAGGTAACGTTTTAGGTTGAGTGACCCTTCCTCAGAATTTCTCCTGAGTTTCAGTGGCCAAAATTGGTCTAAATACTCCAGACGAATAAAGTTTCGCCAACGTTTCTTTTACTGGATTTATTTGAAACAATCTTTTATTTATGTACCCTAGATTTGGAATGGGAAATTGTTTTTTACTTCTACCCTAACAAACCACTTAATTTTAAAAGATCTAACAAATATAATTGTGTCAAAGGATTACCGCCTGATTGTAGTCCCAGGTGGTGTTCAGGGCTTTAGACATAAAGTGTGCACTTTACAACTGGAGTTATTTTAATGAACCTGCTTGGACATGCTGTGAAACCTCCTGGTTAGATGGGACTTGAATCTGGATTTTCTGGTTCAGAGTTGGGGCACGACCACTGCGCCTTATTGAACTTGACTGAAAATTTTCAATAGTCATTGGTGTAAGTCTTAGCTAGCTGTGTATATTCATTTGCAGGGCCGTGTCCTCTGCAAACAGAAAGTTTAAGCAGTGTGCTATTCTCAATTAAACACTAAAGCACAGGGGACGACTATTTCTTAGCACAGCTCAAATGGTAATGCTTCGACCAAACAAAGTTGACTTGCCTTTTCTGAACTTAAAAAGTTTGAGGGTTAACTCTTGCCTGATGCACTTGTCATGGCAATGTCTCGACTAATTAGTCTACTTGCCAACCAATGAACACTCTTTTCCCATGCAGTATAAGTTGTTGTTCCTTTTGAAATTAGATATTCTTGCAACTGTCCTGATGGGATTGAGAAGCTTTACCAGCTTGTTTTTCAGCAATGCTCAAGTTCTATACTATCTAATTATATTATCTTTGTTGAAATTGCCAAAATGATATTTTTTACCATTTATATCCAGTCGGTACTTAAAGCTTCCAACTATATATTCAGTCTAGTATTTTCATTGCTTTCGAACATGGACAAAATTGCATGCCATTTTTCCTTTACATATGAATAAGACATAGTTAAGAAAGAATTCAAAATTACCAGAGTGGTTTTGTAGAGCTCGCGTCTGTCCATCCTCAGTAGGAGTAATCAGATCCCAGATAAAACCTTTGATCTTTTCATCTCCTCGGTAATGGTTCAAGCAGTACACAAGGATAGTGCGGCAGATGGTCTCCACATCATGTTCTGTCAACTGTCGTTTAAAACGCCCATGTGACAGTATATCACTCCATCGGCCCCAACTGAGAATAAGCAATCGTAGCTTTAGTCAAGTGAACTTCTGTAAAAATCTTCTGTGAAAACCCAATTCTAATATCTTTCAAACTCAAATGTACAGCTTATACATAGTCAGAAAGTTGGACCCATTTTGTTGAGAAAGTAGCAATTTTGAAACAGAAAGCCAGATAGAAGGGAAAAGGAAACAGTCAAAGGGTAAAAGTGGTGGGGAGAATGGGAAGAGGGAAGTGAGGTTTGGGAGAAGATCAAACAAGAGTTTGAAAGCGAGGAAGGTGAGTGGACTCGGACACTGAGGCAAAGGGGTAGGGAGGGAGAGAGAGATAGAGAGATCAAGGGAAAGCAGGAAGAAAGATAGGGGAGAGACAAGGGAGAAATGGATTGGGGAAGAGAAAACTGCTTCAAATTGCATAAACGTGAATTTTTTTTTTAAAAAACATCCGGCTGTGCAGCTTGGGACTTTGCTTTAACATATGTCTGACATCTGACAATACAATACTCCCTTTCTGCTGGCCTGGTCTACCAGTGTTGATGGGTGTTAATTCATGCGCACAGTAAAATTCAAGCCGATAAGCTTGAACCCTGACGTACACGATCAACCCAAAACAACAAAAAGGCCATCCAAACTTGGTCCGCCATTTAATAAGATCATGGTTGATCTGGTTGAGGTCTCATCTCCACTCTCTTGTCTACACCCCATTAGCCTTGACTCTCTTGTCTACCAAAAATCAGCCTTGAATAAATTTAAATACTTAGTCTCCACTACCTTCTGGGGAACAGAATTCCACACACTCTAACAACCCCTTAAGAGAAAGCAATTGCCTTCTTGTGTCTTAAAAGGTTGGGTCAGTGGGAAGTTGATTTTAACTGAATGGCTATCTTGTTTTATTTCTGCATTATTTAGTAAATTACTGTCCAAAATATATGCCAAATTTCAGTAACTAAAAAAAAGACCCAGCACCAGTGCAATAACCACACATAAATTGGGCTAAACACTGATAATGCTGTAAATGCGCTGTTGTGCCCAAAGTTTCTCGTTTTTAATATACACATGTACATTGGGTCCCCCACACAAATATTAAGAAACCTCACAAAATTGTTGCAGTTTAAAGATGGCAATATTCATAATAAAAAATGGAAGTTACATATCCTGTTTCATCAACAAGTTCCCAACAGGTCCTGGGATGTTTTTTAAAGCAGCATACTGAGTGCCCTCACTTGTAGGAAGGGACCAAGCTGGTGTCAATGCTTGAATCAAACTGATGTGCTGAGATTGATGTTGCATGTTTGTGGCAGATGCACAAAACATTTGGCATGAGATCTAGCTGGAATTGAAATCAGAGGCACGTGTCATGGCAGTTCTTTCAATTAGACTGTACAGTTGCGCGCCAAAAACTGGCAAGAGAAGCTACTGCAGACCCAAGATCACAGTACCTACCTCTCAATTGAGTAGCTTTGGGATCCTCCTCATCCTTGGTCTGCTCATTAATCCTTTCTACATCCGCTTAACTGTCTCCTTGATGCTCTAATTCACTCAACAGCACTACCAATCACAACCTTAATTGATGCAGGTCAAGTCCCAACAGGTGGGCACAGTTTCTCACTGCTTCATTCAACCCATCATCTGATGCACCATTAACTCAGCTTTTCCACATGACCACAATCCTGCTGATTATTTCATCCTCCCCTTCTAGTATGTTGTAAACCCCTTCTAACCCCTCCTGCCAAGTACTCTTTCCAGATTCACACCCTTTATTCATCTTGCCACCTCTTATGGCCTCACTACTCCCACTGCGTGAAGAATACCTTCAACATATACACTGCTACTAACATCTCCCTCAATGTTTCTCGCGGAATCCTACTTCGTTGTGTTTGCCCCTGCAAAGAATGCTTTCCCAACTCATTTACAATCAAGGTTCCCTTTTGGTATCTTGCAGCAATTGAGAATACCTTGTGCTGGGAACAAAGAGGCCCCACACAGGCAATGATCCTTCAAGATGTATTCACATGCACAATTTGAAAGGGGGCAATGCAATGTAACAAGCAAGCCATGCACAACAAATAGAAGTCAGTGGAACATCAGTTACAACTGCACTTACAAAAACTCTGAACTGAGCAGCTCGACTCTCTCTTCACTGTCCTTTCTGCTATGGACTTCCTTGTATCCTCATCTCTACCATCAATATTCTATTCCTCATTAAAACTGCAAAACTCACACACAGACAGTTTCCCTTAGTAGCACCCTCATCTCAACTTTAAGTCTACGCCTGTGACTTAAGGAAATGAAGTGATGAACGATAGTTTAGCCATTCATCATCAGATTTAGTTGCACTACATTATCCACTTCCAAAACTACATCTGGAATATGGAATGCAAATAGAAGCCTGGAGTTCTGTTCTCTGCTGCAATTCATTTTCTTTAATCTTTGTCCTCTGTCCTCACCTCTTGCAAGAAGTCTCCTTATTGGAGCTCAAGGACATTTTTGTTACAAACATCAATGCATTCATTCAATTGCCCCTGCTGCATTCCTCTCTCCAGTGAACCATGAGGCAAACATTCTGTAAGATTCCCTCCTGATCTAGCATCATTCTCTAATTGCTTTCCTATCTCATCTGGTCCACAAAGCCCATATCCTGCTCCCTGGTCCTTCTTTTTAAGAAACTGCTGCCCAATGTACATCCTGGCTTTCATACTGGTTGATATTGTCAATGGTTCTCTTGCTTTCAAAACCTGCTGCCATCACCACCTTCCTCAAAACCAATCCTTCCTGCCATGGTAACAATCATTCCATCACCAAACCCCTTCTCCCCTCCAAATTATTTCAAGCTGTTGGTGCTTTTAAAACATTTTCCAACCTTTCTTGGAACTTTGCTAAAATCCCTCCAAATCTGGATCTTCTCAACCCCCCTGCTCTGCAACTGCCAAATTACAGAAATTAAGATACAAGTCATATGCTATGTGATTATGACAAAGATGAGGTATTCCCTCCATTTCTATTTGGACTTTTCAGCAGTTTTTGACACGGTTTAACCCTACCATCCATTTATTGATCATTGTTCAGTCACATAAGACTGCACTGACCTGGTTCTATCCCCATTTATTCAACATAACTAGGAGAACAATCTGCAATAGATTCTTTAATTGCATTGTTCTTCCATCTCCAATTTGTCATTAGGTCTGGTTCAGACCCTATTCAGTATAAACCTGCGCACCATTTTGTTATCAGAAAAATCTTAACACCTCTATTTTAAAGATTGTAACCACAGGACTCTCAAATTCTCCTAGTGTCGGCTGTCCATTCTGCTTCTGTAAAGTGCCTTGGAATATTTATTATCGTAAAAAAGTGTTATGTAATGACAATATGCTGTTAAGACACATCTCTGCTACTGTACCCCTTATAATACCCCCACCTTCCAATCTAGCACTGAAAATACTAAAAACTTTCTAATTAGGAAAAGACCAAACTGACTAAGTAAATCTTCTGCAAATAAAAAAAGCTGAGATTAGCTGCTTTAGTAACAGGATCAAAAATATATTGGTTTCATAAAGCTCACTTTCCCCCTCCCCCAATCCTGACAGTTCACATATTAATGTCATGATCGTTTCAAGGCTTGGAAACTGGGTCATAGTGGGAAAATGTTTGGACATAAAAGCATCTAAATGGGATAGGGTTCTACATTTTCCTTGTTTTCCTATGTCTAAAATGAGGTCGAGACTGTTAAAAAGAACAGGAAATAGGAAAGGTTGAAGGGCAGGTGGAAGTGAAGGAGAGAACACAATACCTTTAGTCATTTGGTAGTTCGAGTTATGTATTGGTAAAAAAGACACTGCCCAAATTTTTCATCTTGTACTCATCAGGATAATTCACAACAAACACCAATGTAAGGGGAATGCCACATTCATTCTGACAGGAGAAGGCTTATTGGTTGGCAAGTACACTTTGATTGGTAGAAACATTGACATGATAAATACACCAGGTACTGATGACTGACAAGTGCCAAAGTTTGCTGAAATTTTAAAGCAAGTAATTTGACTCTGTTCAGTCAAGACATTAATTTGAAAAATGCGCCAGAGAATAGCTAATCACTTATTTTCTTCAGCTGAAACAAGTGCAGTGTCTGTATATATTCCTTGTCTAAAATGAACAGGGCACTGTGTTAATTTATATAGCTTCCAGTACATGCAAGCGCTCTATACCGCAAGCTCAGCTGATGATTCTAGCTGATGTTGGTTATCAGCACAATTCTTCATACAAGCAGAATGTTGGATTCCGCTTTGCAAGTATGGGCTGGTTGGGCATGGGCAATATCTTGCCTGTTGCAAACAACAGATGGGATATCCCATTTGATCCAGCAGTCTGTGCGACATGCAGTCTGCACTGTATCATACCGGCACTGAAGTGTTTTAAAACACACCACTCATTTGTGAGGGCAGAGCATTCCTATGCTTGACAGCAGCACCTTGGGAGTGGCAAACACCACTCTTGTTGCTATGGCATCACAGCAGTGGGAAACACCAGTTTCACCTACTGGTCAAATGTTTGAACGGCTTTACCCTTCCAGGTTAATCTGAGGTGGACTGGACACGTTTCAGGACTAAAAATGACAACCTTAGGTTTGTTCATAAGTTTACATGGTATACAGCATTAAAGACTACCTTGAAAAGATGATTTGAAGTGCAGGATATGAAGCACCGTAATACACCATCCAAGTTGCATAATGAACAAGTGGCTTGAGCTCTATTTAAGAAGTAGCTGATAACACCAATCTCATAGCACATGGAACTGTAGGAATCCTAACATGTATACTGAACGGTGAAAGGTAAGCCATGTGGGAGATGAAAGACGACAAACATCTGGCAATTTCTTACCAACCTGCCTGAATTAACATTTAAATAAAGACTGGGCGTTAACTGTCAGTCATCACTAATCAGTGTATCCCCAACAGCAATGTCTCTACCAATCTACACACTCTTCTTTAGAGGGAGGTGATGGCTAGTGGTATTACTA